CATCAATGCTGAGTTTGTGGAAAAAGGACCAGTTGGGACGTTTCTCTCTAATTCAAGAACTTCTTGGGTATTTAACCCACCCCATGCCTCTCACATGGGGGGAGCATGGGAACGTTTGATAGGAGTGTCCCGCAGAATACTTGACTCTATGTTACTACAGAATCGAGTCGAACTAACCCACGATGTCTTGGTAACTTTCATGGCAGAAGTTACAGCTATTGTAAACAATAGACCTTTATTACCCGTGTCAACAGATCCAGAGTCTCCATGTTTGCTCACACCCTCTACCTTGCTAACAATGAAGACCACATGCAATATTCACCCCTTCCCAGAGTTTGGACCAAAGGATATACGTGCGCATTGGAAGCAAGTGCAGTTATTAGCAGATGAATTTTGGAAGAGGTGGAGAACAGAATATATACATACCCTTCAAGTGCGTCATAAGTGGAAAGAAGCACGTTCAAACTTGAAGACTGGTGATGTCATCTTGATGAAAGACAGCGGAAGTGCGCGAAATGACTGGCCTATGGGCATTGTACAAAAGACATTTCCAAGTGATGATGGCCGCATCCGAAAAGTTGAGATATGTGTTGTGAAGGATGGTACACGCTCTACTTATGTGAGACCTATATCAGAACTTGTCACCCTTTTGGAGGTGTAGTGAACATCATTGGTTTTGATCATGCACTTAAGGTTAAGTGTTTGTATGTTTAAGATTGTAATGTAAACTAGATATGAGTACATTGTATTTTTCAGTTGAATTTGTTTTAAAAATAGTGATTTCTAGTAGAAATCAGAGGGGGAGTGTAGTGTCCGGAATTATCCGTCCCCGGTTTTGATTTTATTTTTAAGTGTTTGTTTCCGCCCAAGTCAACAATACATGTGTTTACAGATATTTTGCTTGTCTTGTCCTCTCATGGTGTAAGTTTTGTTGCTTTATTTAATTTGTAATCATAAATTGATTTATAAACGTTTAAATATCGTATACGCCAAATGTCATTGGTGAACATTATGTATGTTTTGCATAATTCTACATTTTTATCTGCTATTTTTTGTAACTGGTTCACTTAATATGGCGGACAATTTAGGTCATTTTTATATATATTCATATCATATCGGTACACTGTATTGTGTCATTTTCTCTTCATAAAGCATGTTAATAATTGATAACTTCAGGTAATAACAAGTCTTATTGTCAGTACAATTTATTGTGAAACTTATGCATTGATTGTGTCTAAATGTGTGTTATTTGTTTGTAGTTTTTTACCCTCTTCCGAGAGGTCTGCGAATAAAGCATAACTTCACAGGGGGTTTGGAACTACTTATCACACTATTATCTGATAAATTGTGGACAAGTACAGGGAACTTTACCGAGTCAAATATTTAAATGCAAAAATGGATGATGCTTAATTACTGCATTTTATACAATGCAATTTAAATATTTTTTTTTCTAGCGCATAATACAGATATAAAAAAAAAAGCATCGAATGATTTGTGAACACTGGTGAAATTTAGACAGAAAAAAAAATCAAGTCAACTATTTCTTTGTAGACAAAATATGTTTCTTATAGATGGATATGGACTTGTTTTATTTGTTTCATTTCTACGACTTGTTTACTTGTATCAAAAAATAACCCCAATTCCTCTAGCGCACAATTTGGATAAAAACATTGAATGACTGGTGAGCAAAAATCTGGTATAAAAACAGATCATTTGAAATAATGAGATAACATTCTATCAATCCTACTTCAACTTATGATTTCGAAAGAATTTATTCATGCTTATTTCGTTTCAATGTTTTCGCGAAATCAACATGATCGGAGCATATACATATATAAATTTCCAAGCAAAACTCGACTATCCCCAAAATCCAGTATAGCTTTCTTTCTATGGTGCAAACGAATTAAAGGTTATACTCATTTAAATGTTTTTCAGAAGACAAAGCTTTTAAACAATTTTCCCATAACAAAATAGATAAATTCATTTAGTTAACACATTTTAAAGTTTCATGTATATCCGCGTACACATCCTCATCCAGCTATCAATTAAATATAACGAGCATTCTGAGAATATTGCAAAGAAAATTCTTGTTGTCTGCAGGTTTGTGGTGTGGTCTTCCTTAAAAAGTTGAAGCCTTTAATTCGGTAAAACATTATTGAAACCGAGTAAAATACAAGTTGATTTTTGAGGTTTACTCACATATCAAAATCAGCTCATCATCTGCAAACGTATAGAAAAAAAAGTCTGGAAAACCATGATGGACTAACTTACTGATTGATAGAGGAACAGATGTAGAGAAAACCTGCATAGCGGAATTTGAAAGAAGCAATTAAAAGATAGACACCTACATGCAAATTGTTTTTCAATTTTTATTACATGTATATTTATAAAGAAGGAATGCACAAGCGCCGGGGATGGAAGGGAGGATAATGGTTCAAACTAATTTACCAAGGGTCTTATTAGTCCCCTACCAGTGAAACAAACTACAGGGGACCATAAATTTCTTAACCGTCTGCCTGTCTGTCTGTCTGTCAGTTAATCTTTCCAACTTGATTTTTCCTATATATAACCTTATGAAGGTGATATTAGTTATATTTCACCAAAATTTCCTCAGATTTCAAAGAGTTAACATTTCAAGCTGTTTTCAATACCTCAAACGAAACACAGCCTTCGATCCCAAATTTACAAAACCGTTTTGATAAAGTTTGAGAAACGTATGTTATTGCAGCCCGGAGGACTGGGCTGCTCTATACATATAAGTTTAAGTGTTGGTATATGGGGATTGAGGTGGGAGAAGTTATTCAGAATTAAAGGTTTTCTAAACATTAAAAAGATTGTTAATCAGAATGTTCTTTCCCTTTATAAATTACGAGATACACAATATATTTACTTCCATAAAGTGAATCTGTAAAAATATATATGTTTTTCATATTTAATATATGAAGTTGCTTATCATTTACTATCGAAAAAACGACAGGTCCCTTTTTTTAGAACATCGAATTTTACTTATCGCATAAAAAAGTAAAAATGTACTTTACACAGTTCGTGTTTTATATTCTTAAAGTGAAAGATATTTTTGAAAATAGGTGATGCATGTGTCTGTTATTATATTATATGCAGCCAACATTTACTTGAGGAATTGATAAAGTTTAAAAGGGTATCGTTTTTGTTCGATTTTCATCCGACTATAAGTTTTCAAAATATTCTCGACTATCGTCTCCATCATTTAGACGCATGCCTTTTTCACACATATCGAAGCGGTTTGATGATAAAGACTCATTTCCATTGTTTACTTTATTTATTTCCCGGGCGACAATTGATGGTTACATCAATGTTTTCTTGTTTACCATTTGCTTTCATGTTCAAAACTTTTGTTGTAAATATTCATTTACCATTTTCTGACAAATTTCAGAACATAGCAAGTTCGTAGAGCCTGTTCGATCCTCAGCTACGCCGATCCACATGGGGAATTCTTCATAGCTTATGAAATTATGAGTGCTTTACTTCAAATACATGAAAATAATCAAAATGGGATGCACGCTGAAAAAAATGTAGTGATATGTAGAGGAACTTTTTGTCTAAACTGAGTCCATAAATTGATGCTTTAAAGACTATCCCTGTCTAAAAGATCATCGAATAATACCATTATTTGATATCAATTGAAGAACATAATACAAAATATAATTCAAGTTCATGTATATTTGTTTTTTACAAGATTTTAACATACATTAATAGCAACAAACAAACATACACAGTCATGTACATGATTTAACAAGCAAAAGCCATGATAAAGGATTTGCAAATAAAAACAAATTTAGAAAATACATGAGTATTTTTGCCAGTAAAAATGTATATATGTAACAATAAGTGTTCATGTTAAGGGAAATCTACTGCAATTAACGTAATTAAATCTACTAGAATTATGGTTATCCGTCCTAGAAGTTTGCCTTAATCAACTTGGTAGCATGAAAATTACCTCTAAAAGTCCATACATTTTTAGATTTTCTTGAAATATTTTCAACAATTTGGATAAATTACTATATTTATGTTTTGTCTAAATGATATAAAATGTGGGAAGAAAATATATGAGAATTGGACAGCATAGTATCAAGCATTTTATTAAAGGTTTGAAGAGAACTGTGAAAAAATACATGTAGCAAAGCCTTAAACATCACTTACTGAATAATTATATCGTTATACGTTTCAATGTATAAAGGTAAAATAATTCTACATGTATAATTCCACTGTTTGACACAATGAAAAAATAAATTTTCAAAAGTTTTAATTTCAATTCATTCTAACATCTATTATTGCTGAAAATTAGTAACTGTGCTAAAAGATTCCTGTTATTTAAAAAGAAGATTCAGAAAAATTATATTTTTTTATTTATATTCAAAAATGTTATGTAAATGCGTTTTGAAGTTTTCAAATGAGTTACATGTATAAAACAAACTATTGGAATACATGCATGGAAAAAAATTGATTGTTATTAAGAAATATTAATTTAATACACACACAATTATTAGGCCTACATGTACCAGCATTTGACACATCACACTAATAAAAAATTAAATATTACACATATCGCTTATTATATTTCAAGACAGTCTCCATGTATTTTGTTTATCCTGCAACACATTTTTACATGACCTTCAAAACGAACTATTTTCAACCGATTTAGGTACATCTCTTCAGTTGAAACTAAGACGCCATGGCGTCAACATTGCAATATTCATGACGTCACAATGCTTTTAGAACGTCGGAATACATGCACGAGGCTTCATTAGGGCATTGACCGAATAAAGCTTTGGTTTATGGACTGTTTCACGATAACTGCGGTACTGCTCTTTTGCAGGGCAAAATGATATATTTTGGTGAAATATGACGTAAAAGTAATTGTTTAATATACGTCATTTAATTATTTGTCATCAAAAACTTCCCCAAATGTTGTTATTTTGCCCTGCAAAAGAGTAGTACCGCAGTTATCGTGAAAGGGCTAATTAGGTTACCTTTATTAGGTCAATACAATAGGTAGTTGCAGGGTAAAAAATTAAAAATTACACACATTTTTTTTTCTTCGGGTATCTATATATATATATTAAGGTTAACAATGTGTAATCAACAACTGATTTACAAATCATTGAGAAAGTAAATGACCTTTTTGTACTTAATCAGTAATTCAATCATGACTATTCAAGTGTCACATGCCAAATAGGACAGAGAGGATGAATATAGTAACAGTTGCATATTGGCATCCAGTCTCAAAGACATAAAAAAAAACACCAAAAATAGTTTTCTTCCCAAATTTTAGATGTTCATTGTAATTTTAATATGCATCACTATGTATAGAAATACTTTTGATGAACTAATATCCAGAAGATGGCGGAGGCTGGTAGGTAAAGTTACCGCCAAGCTGTGGTCCATATTGATTGTACTGATTTAATCCTGTTTGTGATTGTCCGAGACCAGATGAAGGCACAAATCCGTTTAGATTATTCCCGGACTGTCTATTTCCAGTTTGCCAATATCTGGGCTGACCATCATGGCATACACCAAACTGACCATGATGGCCTGTTGTGAATAAGAATATTTTAAAAAAAAAACTTGATCAAGTTTTTACTGTCGTGGATGATATAAAGAGTGTTTTCTCAAATGTCTTTAAATGAATATTATATTCTCTCATTTGAGTAAGTATCTTATTTAAGGGATAAAAATCACATTGTAGAAAAATGATAGTTTCTTTGATTCCTTACATATACTAATATGATTAAATTCTTTTTTAACTTGTGTATTTTGATATTGCTTGTTCTCTGTATATTTGTAAATATTCGTCAGGTTGTCTTTTTAAAGGCAAATGTTACATCAATGCTCTTGCCAATGTAAACTTAGAAAGAATGATTTCGGAATAGTGATATGCTATACCTTGTGTTCTTCTGTTGAAATTTGTGCCTGTTTGCCCAACCGGTTGAATATTCATTCCTTTCTTTTTCTTCCATTTTATGTAACAAATGAGCCCTATCATTGACGCAAATAAAACTACAAACGCAACGATCGAAGGTACGTAATAAATGACGGTTTCACCGTCGTCATCATAGTAGTCATAATCAGACATTACTAATGTCCAGAGAACAAAATGCAGCTAATATGAAACGGGAACTTGCACAACATCCTGAAACAAAAAAAGAAACAGAATTAAACAGGTCTAATATTTATACATTAGCCTGCAGCTGTCGAAATAATCAAAATCCATGAGATATTTTAAGTTCGATATCTTTCACAGAATCGGAAAGCAAGCCAAATCAAGTATCCCCCCCCCCACACACACACATACACAAACACCCTCACATACACACACACACCCTCACACACACAAATACACACACACACACACGCACAGAGAGACAGAGAGAGAGAGAGATTTAAAAACTTTTCAATTATTTCCGATGCCATTTGATTCAAGACATATCTTTATGAATGTTCGACATGAATAAAAACATGAAACATATACTACTGTCGCTCAATACTTTTCATCTGAATACGTTAGTAGATAATCATCTACTGAACATACTTGATTTTCAAACAAAAATCAGTACAATTGAACATAAATTACATTACACATGTCAAATAAAACAATTAGGGAAAAGGCGGATTTCGTACTTACCAAAGTATTTATTAACTTCTTAACATGCTAAAGATGCTACTTATATCGGTCTGCAAAATATTATATACACATATTAAAACTTCTGGATCAAATATTTTTTAACCATTGTTTCAAAATCTTAAAAAAAAGTTCTCTGACGATTAAGACTGTAGGTTTAAAAAATACGTGTCGATTTTTATTTAGCTCATTTTTCAGTTATTATCAACAAACGCACACACCAACATTGTTTGAATAAAACTTACTTTATGAAAAATAACTATGTTTAAAATAAAAAAAAGTAACAGATAGACACAAGAGCCTTGTGTACGGTCAAGGAATCGATGCGGTGGAAATTTGTAGCACTGTGAAGCCTTTCAAGGACTTTGTATTATGATCATTATCGAACGTTCTTAGCACAGTGTTTCCAATGATTTATGAAGTCCTAAGAAGCTGTATCATTAAGCTAAATGGGGGCATGTTTGTCACTGACACTCTTACAATTAAAAATGGACGGCTTGGAAAATATTATAAAGCTAGCATTTGTGTGTGCTAGATTTAAAAGATTTTCAATTTACAAAATCTGATATGGATGGAATTCCCTATTCTTTCATAGGTAGAAACAATGAAACAACTGACGTGATGAACTCATTTAATTTTATAAGAGTCTGATACTTACATCTAAGATTGGTGTACCTGGATAAAATCGTCCAAGGTTAAAAAACAGAATCCTTTGTCAAATAATCCATTCGTAACATTAACTCTGGTATTTCGAAATGCAAGTACACATGCACTGCATGATGTGTATATGAGGAATATGATCGAAATTCCGTGTGTATAGTTTAAATGCCTTTGGTTATAATTAGTGTATAGGAGTCATTCAAGGGTATTGAACCGCGATTGCCTAAGGTTCAAACTTAAACAGAAAATCGATTTTAAGACGTTCTGTATCGGAGAGATGACAGAAAATATTGTATTTTGTCGTAACTAACGAAAATGAAAATAAGGTATATGATAAAACTAATATACCTGTTTCTCACCAGTTTAAACTACTTTGGCACATATTTGCACTAGAAAGTAACAGTAAATACAAGTAATAGCTTTTCAAAAAGCTTGCCTGACTAATCAATCAATATCTATGGAACGTATATGCAAGAGAGGTGCTAAACGTTTCCGTCATCAAGGAGCGACATAGTTGCGATACTTCATTACACAAGATGTACAATTGACTTTCTCAAATGTCATAACCAAATACTACAGATTAACAAATGTCTAAGACATGCCACTATTTGGTCATTTAGCCCACGGGCTGACTAGTTACGGTGGGATGAAACTGCAAGTGCGCTAGCGTAGATTATAATCAAATGCGGATCCAGCACCGGCGCGCCTGGCGTGTGCCCCCCTCCCCCCACCCCGTTTGAATTTTTCCTATGTAGAACTTACATGTTCATTATCCTAAAATCAAGGAAAAGAACACCTCTTATTTGTAAGAATTTGTCAGCTTCCGGGGGCTTTGCCCCCGAACCCCCATAAGGGCTTTGCCCTGGACCCACTAGGGTTTCAATACAGCCCCCAGACCCTCTGCCTTCTACTGCGCCCTCCCGTTATGAAATTCCTGGATCCGCCACTGATAATCCTGGGAAAAATAGATATTCCTTTTTAAGAAATTCATATTACATGTACATGTATTATAAATGAGTTTAAAATACATCTTTATATACAGTTTTGAAAATTAGTTTTTCTTTTCAACCGATTTCAGGACCTTTTCATAATTATTAAAACCTGCTTTTTTATGAAATGAAAACCAGGACAGATCATGATGTCTTCTTCATTTTGCCGATTCTTTACTTAGAACCTTACGGGAGTGAAGCCCATTCCTCTAAGGGTACTGACCTACACACTTGTCACTGTATTAAAAGGAAACCCTTGTTCATCACAAAGCATGAAATAATATGCTACTCGCTGACTTTCTAAGCTTTCTTAAAAAACCTAACCTTGTAACGTACATTACTAATAAATGTAATATTGAAAGAAAGGCTAGGTGGAAAACAGACTGAATCAAGAAGGGATGTCCCATTTACTAGGTGGAGGGAGTTTGTTTATGATTAGACTTGTCCACTTATGGGATAAATAGTAAGAATAATCAGCAAGTCCATTGCTTTGGTGTTGCCTGTCCATATACAATGTGTTCTCTTTAAAAAAAATGAGATAAAATTTACTGATAATAAAAAATCTGGAGCGTAAGAATCATGTTAAAAGAATAAACTTTATTTATGTCCAAAGAAGTTATCACACCCATTCAATAGAACAACCCAAGAAAAAGGCGCCTGTGACATTTGGCGCGAAATGATTGTATCACCCCTTTCGTAGAAGGCAAATGGACTGATCCAGTAGTTTAGAAACGTAGAAAAAATGTTACACGGACATGTCCGTACAAAGAACCGCAAAGAATAAACATTTGCATGCAAAAAAACGGAAGGAATTAAACACATCATTATTTTGCATCAGTTATATGATTCTTTCTTCTGCAAACTGTGTTTGTTTATATGTAGGTAACAAATTCCGATGTAAATCAGCTTGCACAAAATCTAGTTCATTAAGAATGATCGCTTAGTTTCGGATCCCAGAAAAATTAATCCTTATACTGCCTGACGCACGTGGCGTCAGGCAATAACAGGCAACATTAAAAAAAATCGACATTTTTCAACAATACAATAATTAATTAGAAGATATTCAAACAGAACAACCTCCACTCCCATACAATAAGCCAATTTATCCTTGTAAAAGGTGATTTCTCTCTCTCTCTCTCGCTATCTATCTATCTATCGATCGATCGATCGATCGAGAGAGAGAGAGAGAGATCGAGAGAGAGAGATCGAGATCTGTTGTTTTGTTTAACAGGCAAAAATGGCAAATAAAGCATACTTTGAACACCTAAACCTTAAGGTATGTAACTCGTCAGCTTTTAAGAAAAGTTAAGTCCGAACCTTTAACTTCAAACCTATTTATCACAACTCAAAATCTCTAACATATTTAAATGAAACAATGCAAATTATACAACATGCAGTTTGAAAATTGCCCACAAGAAGATAAAGAAAAAATATTTATGGGGGACTATTTTTTCGGATAGTTAGAGGGAAATTCTTCATTTATACACATTTTTTCAATTCAATATATTGGAACTTTAGCCCTACAATTTTTTACTCAGAGAATATTTTTTTCTATTCTATGCTGGGAATATTAAATATAGGTTTCGACTGATATTTTTTGAAAAAATTTTACACATTCACTCAAAAGACTTTGCCAAGAAATGAAGATATATTGAAGAATTCAAGATAAAATTTACACATTTTATTGGCCTAAAAGTAGCATATGCATATATTGACCGATATCTCAAAATTTGCATCACTGGTCCCAGCTTTTTCTTTTATAATTTTAAACTACATGATACACTTAAAATAAGGTTATATGTATTGCCATAAGTACATCTGGCAAAAAATTATGGTGAAATAAAAAGGTCAAGTTAATTGTGCTGTTGCTCAGTAAGATGCACACGTACCCCGAATTTGGAGTTATGCTATATGAGTACTTCCATGTATATAAAATATACTTATCAAAAATTTTTTGTTATAACTCATGTCACGCTTGACATACCTTAAATTCAGTTTTATTTCGTTTTGTTACATATTACTTTTTTCTTTCTTACATTGTTATATATTTTCATTTTCCAAATGTTTTTTCCCTATATTACAATACAAATTATATTTTATTTTCAATTTTCAATGACGTGAAGTTGGTCACGTGATCAGACTTTCGTGCGTATGGAAATCAAACTGCTTGAGACTTTGGAAGGTCGAGACTGACGTCACACATGTACGTCATGTATGTTATATGTACATATTTACGTTACAAGACTAGTGTATTTTGCATTTAAAATGTGTGGAAATTTATGTCATTCAAAACACCATAACACGGACAGGGGGTCCAAGGGTTAAAGCATGCGTTTTATTTTGCGTCACAAACGTCGAACGCCGTGGAAGTGTAACGTCATAAGCGAAAATCAAAAATCACGTTCACATTGAACAGACGCTGTTGAATTGGCTCTTCCATTAACTGTAACTTACTTGAAGGATAATAAAGGGATTTCTAAATATAAATCACATTTGCAGTCAATGCAAGGAGTTTAGAAATGTAAATATAAGCAATGAATCATTATTTTTTGAATGATATAGTCTCATAACTGCAACAGTGTGTGCAAACAAATTTCATAACGCGCTAACGCGCGTTATTTAATTTGTTTGCACACACCGTTGCAGTTATGAGACTATATGTTTCAAAAAATAATGATTCATTGCTTAAATGTAGATGTAGGTTATGCTGCGTTATATATGTTACATGAACATGTACGTTATATTTCCATAACAAAGTCTAAAAAGTGTATATTTTTCTGCGTAACACGAATAAAAATATAAGCATAAGAAATAAATTATCAATTTTTAGAGTTTCAAAGGGATATGACATATAGTTGGTACGTGATCAAATCTATGTAAACGCCTTCGGTCGTTATAGGATCTATTCATGTGACCAGCTTCATGCCATATCCCAGTGAAACTCTAAAAACTGATATCTGATTTCGTAGTTAGGCAAATGTCCTGCTCATTATGAAAATATACAACGATTTCTTGATAGGCAAAAAGTGGCAAAGGAGAATATTTACATTTGCCAAAGTCTATACTTATATGACAATACAAATTAAATTGACATTCAGTTTTCAATGACATGAAGTTGGTCACGTGATCAGACTTTCTTGCGTATGGAAAGCAAAACGCTCGAGACATTTGGAAATCTAGACTGTGACGTCTCATGACATTGTACATGTATGGTATGTTGCATTTACGTAACAAAGTCTAAATAGCGATTCATTTCTTTGTTACACTAATGAAATTAAAAATAAAAATATTAGAAATAAAATATCACTTGTTAGAGTTTGATTGAGATATGCAATGAATTTGTTACGTGATCAAATCTACTATAACGCTATATACATGTATAATGCTATATAAGGATTTGATCATGTGACCAA